AAGTCTAATGCACAGAATCGTTTTGTGCATAATTTCAGCTTTTTTTATAATTTAAAATCAATGATTTCAGGTAAATTGCACGTTTTTGTGCATAAAGTCAATAATTTAAAATCAAATGCACAAAAATCTGTTTTTACGTCATTTAAAATCTAGTCAAATGCACAATATCTTTTTTTTGTGTGCATAATTTCTGTTTTTCTAAATCTGTCTTTGCATAATTTAAGGTAAATAATTTAAAGTCAATTGCACATTTTTTTGTGCATAAAATCAATCACTTATAGGCACATGCGTAACACAAATAGAAGCATGTTTTTTTTGAGTGATTACTATTGTGAAATGATTGAAAACGGTCTTATTTAAAAGCTAATAAATGCATCTGTTTTTACATTGAAAGCTTTTGGTTTAAAATCGTTCTTCAGCCTGTACCTACACAATGGTTCCAAGCGCAGTAGCAGAAATGTCTTCATGCACCAGCTGACAAAAGCACAATTTAAAGTTTGTTTGTGACTCAGTGAAGGGGATCTTGGGGGCCGTTCGGGGTCCCATCTGTGTGCGGGTAAATAACCGGCCCTCTCGCTGTGTCGTCCCTCAGGTTGTGACATGTGTGTGTGTGTGTGTGTGTGCGCATGTTTATGTGGTTTATGAGGACCCAAATTTGTATAATAACATGGGTATGACATAGATATTACGAGGTGATTTATGAGGACATTTTCAGTGTCCCCCTAATTCAAAAGGCTTATAAATAATTCAGAATGAGTTTTTTTGAAAATCTAAAAATGCAGAAAGTCTCCTGTGAGGGGTAGGTTTAGGGGTAGAGTTGGTGTAGGGCAATAGAATATACGGTTTGTACAGTATAAAAACCATTACGCCTATGGAGAGTCCCCACTTTTCACAAAAACAAACCTGTGTGTGTGTCTGTGTGTGTGAGAGAGTGTGTGTGTGTGTGTATGAGTGTGTGTTTGTTTGTTTGTGTGTGTGTGTGTTTGTGTGTGCGCGCGAACAACCTGATGTGTCCAACACAAAGAGGGGCGGGTTAGAAAAAGCCCAAACACACTAACTAAAGGTCAGCAGCTTCGCCTCTGACACCAGCTGACAGACAGACAGACAGAGAGAGAGAGAGAGAGAGAGAGAGAGAGAGTGCAGATGGATCATCAATTATCAGCTCTGTAAACATGGACAGATATGCATGGAAGATTATTTCTGTCATAGAATGTAAAATAAAAAGGATAATTGTGTCATTTTAGCTCACAATTCTGACTATTTTCCTGCAATTTGATATGAGTTTATATCTCATAATTCTGACATTTTTCAGTAATAACTCAAGATGTGCAAGATGTTAACTCGCAATTCTAAGAAGGAAAGTCAGAGCTGAGATATAACCTGACGACTGCAAAAATAAAAGTCAGAATTGTGAGCTAAAACGTCACAATTACTCTTTTTAAAAAAATTCTATGACAGAAATAGGTTTAAACAATCATATTGTGCATGGAAGCTTATTCTGTCATTGAAAAAATGTAATACAAATTTAATACAATTAAAAAAAATAAAAAAAGGGTAAGTTTAAAAAAACAGAATTGTGGAAAAAAGTCTGAATTGTGAAATTAAAAAGTAGCAATTACCTTTAAACAATTTTTTAACAAAAAGCAATTGCAAGATGTAAACTCAGAGAAATTCAGAGAAAAAGTCAAAATTGCAAGATTAGAAAAATCTAGAAAATCTTAGAAAAATCTAAATTGTTAGATTTGAAATCAGAATTATGATTTATAACTTGCAGTTGAGAGATATAAACTTGCCAGTCTGAGAAAATAAGTAAAAAAATGTGAAATATAAACTTGTAATTGCAAGAAAGAAAGAAAGTCATAATTACCTTTTTTCCTTTTTTTTTTTAATTCTGTGATGGAAAAAACAGAATTGTGAGATTTCTCAGAATTAGAAGGGGGAAATTTTTTTTTAATTGCGTGATATAAAGCCAGAATTCTGAGGAAAAACGTTGAAATTGTGAGTTGTAAACGCAATTATGAAAGTCAAAATTGCAAAAAAAATGTGAATAATGAGATGTAAACTTGCAAGCCTGAGAAAAAAAATTCCAGAAATGTTTAATATTTTTATTCCTTGGTATAGAAATAAATTTCCATAGATGTGCATAAAGCTAAACTTCTAAACAAAAGCTGCTAATATGCTCCAGTTAGGAGTGAATAAGGTACAAAAGTGACGGGATTGACAGCTTTTTTATGTTTTTTGTTGGTGTGAAAGCTGATGTGAAAGTCTGGGTCTGTAATGCACGCTGAGGCAGAGATGTTGTTGGTGGTCTGGTTCAGTGTGACGTCAGGTTCTACAGTAAAAATTCCTCTGGATTAAAGTGGACGGTGTGTGTGTGTGTGTGTGTGTGTGTCTGAGAGCAGAGAATGAAAGGCTGGAACGTGTAGAACACAAACATCTGAGCCGAGGTCTTCTGCGGGGAGCGGCGACTGAACTAAAATAGCTGAATGATTCTCTGGAGTGTGTCAGAAATCACTGCTAATGGCAAATGAATCAGCGGCTGGGTTTGGCAGAGCGTTATTGGTGCTCGGTAGCTCGACAGATTAATATTTCCCCTGTTAGATCATCTATTAGTTTAATATTAGCGAAACAGATCGCACGCCGCGCTCATTACGGCCAATCCAGCGTTTGATTAAGTCTGTCTGTCTGACCTTTTATTGACGTGTTATTACGGCTCCTGCTGTCACAGCGCTGATGTATGGAAGTGTTGCGGGTTAAACACCTGATAGCAGCCATTTGTTCAGGCAATTAGGAGCAAATAAAACTGATAGTTCATCTGCTGTCTCTTTAAATGACAGAGATAATGATAGTGCAGGTCTAAGTTCATTAGAGAAACACACACACACACGTTTATGAGATTTATGCATCATAATTAAACTAAACGAAAATAGGGAAAAATTTGGTTTTTATTTATATATATATATATATATATATATTTTTTTAAATCTATATATAATCCATAATCTCTATATAATTGTAATAATTTTTTATTTCAGTTAGCTTGTTATTTTAATACATCAAGTTAAACTAAATGAAAAATTACTGAAATTTTTGTTGAAGTTTTAGTAAATGTGTGTGTGTTTTGTATGCTGCTTTCGGGAACTAGTTTAATTAAAATAAGTTAAAGAAATTATATTTAATATTTTATAAATATTATTATATTCATAATTATATTATTAATTTATCATGTTATTTCCAGTAAGGAAGAATGAACTCTTAGGCTGGCGGATCTGTTTCAGAAAGGCAGATTGTGAAAACACTTGGACTAACTCTATATTGGGGCAGAAAATAGTCTGAGCATGACTGCATGCTTTTATGAAACACAAATATTTCCAGTTGGTGATGGGAGTAATATTTCGCACTGTAATTTGTCACTGAAGTTATTTTATGCTTCATTTGCGTCTGTGTTGTGAAAGAAAGCATCTCTAACCGTATCAGACGCGAGAGTTTCATCTGAACGCAGAACATGCTGGATCTGAGGAATGTTTTTATGGTTGCTTCGTGTTATTTTAAGGCTTGTTTAGTCTGTACGTCTGACTTCAAGCGCTTATATTACGCATATTGACATCCAGCTCAGCCTGTTATGATATTATTATGATGGGAACACTGTTATGATATTAGAAATGACTGTATTTAACAGACATAGATATCCGTTTCAGCTTTGTTCTGATAGTCGCTGACACAGCAGAGAAAAATCCATAATCATATAAACAGAGCAATTCCATTAGTGCTCGGGGCCTAACAATGAAATAAAGCCTTATAATGGTATTTAGTCAGAATAGCAATATAATTAGGCTACAATACTAAATGCAAACTAAACGTTTGTAAAGCATCCCGTTTATAAAATTCACTTCCAATCTGTTTAATAATAATACAGCATTTGTCTCAGAGTTTGTTCTGCTGTTTATTTACAATATTAATCAGCAGTTTTATTAACCAACGCTGTCATGTTAATCATTTAGCATATAATTAGATCTATGCTATTTGAAAATATGTAGCGCTTTGTTTTTTTATTTTTATTTTACATGATTTGCAATTTTGTCACATTGTCACTCAATGGCTTTTATTTATTTATTTATTAAAAATGTAATCTCTTTAATCAGACATCTCTTTTATAGGAGTGTCCTGACCTAGATAGACCGCAACTTAGCAAAATTTATTTATTTATTTATTCATTCATTCATTAACCTTTATGTTTACATTGATTTATTAACCTTTATTTTACCAGGGAAGTCCTTCTAAAATAAAAAATATCTTGTGCCCTTGCCAATAGCAAAGCAAAATAGCAACAAAAAAAAAATATATATATATACAGTGGGTACGGAAAGTATTCAGACCCCCTTAAATTTTTCACTCTTTGTTATATTGCAGCCATTTGCGAAAATCATTTAAGTTAATTTTTTTTCCTCATTAATGTACACACAGCACCCCATATTGACAGAAAAACACAGAATTGTTGACATTTTTGCCATCCATCCATCCATCCATCCATCTATCATCTATCTCTCTATCTATCATCTATCTATCCATCCATCCATCCATCTATCATCCATACATCCATCCATCCATCTATCATCTATCTATCCATCCATCCATCCATCTATCATCCATACATCCATCTATCTATCTAACCTGTATTTAACCAGGAAAGTCTTTCTGAGATTTTAAAGTTTCCTTTACAAGATAAGCAGCAAAATAAAAGTGCTGAATAAACCCCCCCCGACACACACACACACACACACACACACACACACACACACACACACACACACACACACACACAAAACAGCATTAAAACATTTGATAAGTCCTGAAGCAAAGCATTTCCCAGTCAGGAGCGCAAACTCAGGACATCTTCTGAATATGAACACAAATGATCGTAACGTTTATGATGCACTTAGTGCTTCATATCATTCATGTCGTTGTGTTTAGCATGAGTGTGTAATGAAGTGAATGGCGTTATGAAGACAGAAGACGAAGCGCTGAAGGCCTGAGAGAGTTTGTGGAGTGTGTTAATGCGGCTGCGGTGATAACGAGCGGCTCTGTGTCCTCCAGAGACGTGTTTGCGTGCTCTCTGTGTTTCTGTGACGAAGCGCCGCTGTAATGATTCATCTGGTCTATTAATATGATTAGATTCATATTCCTCCAGTGGTTCATGTGTCATTATCAGTGTTGTTTTGTTTCAATCAGGTACTACTGCAATTTTTATTAATGTTTCCTCTAAGTTTAAAAAAAGTTATTCAAACATTTCAAAACTGGACATTTTGAACGTTCTAAGAACATTCAGAAATAAAGTTTTAACTCTTAAAGGGAACGTTAGCAAAAGAGACTGAAATATCGAGCACTGCAGGTTATCTTTGTTTGGTTATCTTTATATAAAAGCAGAGCACACAAGACGAGTTCTGACTGTGTTCGTCTCTTGCAGATTTACGATCAGGAGGGAACCTTACAGCACTTTATTGACGGGAACGAGCCCAGTAAGTCGAGCTGGATGAGGTACATCCGCTGCGCCAGACACTGTGGAGAGCAGAACATGATGGTGGTGCAGTACAGGTAGAGAAACTCAACTAACTTAACTAAACCAACCCACACCAGCACACAACACCAGACTAACCGTCAGATGTGAGAGAAACCAGGGGACGCATCCTCATTACTCCGCATAATTATGGCATAGAGATATACTGTAGTATAATAAACTCAAAAAATACAGTTATTGCTCTGGTAGGATTATAGTAATTAGCAGTATATACAGTAAAGGAAATTGTATATAAAAATCAGCAAGTGGTGTCTACACACTAAAAACATAACAGACCACAAAGGTCAATTTTTATTTATTTATTTGAAAATATATATATATAAAAGATGAATATAGATGAAAATTCAGGTATCCAGTAGCAACATTAAAACAGACAACAAAGCATGCATAAAAAAGTATAAACATAGAATAAAAAAATAAAAAACAAGAGAGTGCATGTACAGAATAAACATAAGTGCATGAATGGAAATAATAGCGTTAGATGCTGGGTACAAGCATCAAATATACAAATATACAGAGGTGTTTACGATGTGCAAATATGTAATACAATACACTATAAAGACAGTAAGAGTCAAAATACAGGTATTTAAAATGTGTAAAAATTATATATATATATATATATATATATATATATATATATATATATATATATATATATATATATATATATATATTCTGTTTAGTGTGTGGAAAAAACTTGCTGATTTTTGTATGTTAAACCTCCCAAAACCTCTTTATAAAGTAAAAACGCTATAAAAATTGAGTAAATAAAGTTAGTTTTTTCAATTCTAAAAATGCAAAAAGTTTTCAGTTGGTTTTAGTTTATAGTATTTATAACTAGCTGTGTATAAAAACAGTAAACGTCCATGCAATGTCCTTATTTAGTTGAATAAGCGTGTGTCAGCCTGTGTCTGATGATGTTCCACAGAGCTCAGACTGAAGGGGGTTTTAATATTGACCTGATCTTCTTCATGCAAGCCCGTGTTGTAGTGCGGCTCCAGATCATCTGTTATGATTTGCAATATCTCGATGGAATCCTCTTCAAAGCCGCCGGTGATGGATGGAGTCCGAGTTGGCTGTTTGGTTTGCTCTGACGGTAATGTCCGCTGGCATCTCCTGCGCAGGGGGCATCCCACGGCGGCTTCATGACTCACCCAACCACAGCAGTAAATCGCTGTCAGCACGCTTTGATCTGCGCAGATTCGTGCGTGTTTGGGAGGTGACGGCAGGCTTGTAAGAGCCGGTGTTGGTTTACTCGGTCTGAGCGTGTGCAGGACCACCCATCGCTCCCCAAACAGCCTCTTTCAGCGGCCCGCCGACTCATTGAGTCCCACTGCATTCACTGGAGCGCTGCAGTGTTTATGTTGAGCAAAGCCGAGCTGAGAGACGTGTTTTCTCTCTCTCTTTCTCGCTTATGAGATGCTGCTGATTTATGGACTCGGCTCTTGTTTTATTTTCATGTCGCGGTGGAAAGAATTAATAAAATGCACCGATCTCAGCACTTCCACCAGGACCAAAGAGTCAAACGTTTGTAGGTTTTTCTCCTCCGCTCACGCGTCTGTCAGTGAAAGCAGAGGACAGATAGGGTTAGGGTAAGTCCATGCTCGTCTAAAAATAATATGTGACCCTGGAGCACAAAACCAGTCATAAGGGTCAATTTTTTTTGATTTGTACATCATCTGAATAAATAAGCTTTCCATAGATGTATGGTTTGTTAGGATAGGACAATATTTGGCTGACATGCAACTATTTGAAAATCTGGAATTTGAAAAAACCTAAATATTGAGAAAATCAATTAACCAAATGAAGTTCTTAGCCATGCATATTACTAATCAAGAATTAAGTTTTGATATATTTACGGTAGGGAACTTACTAAATATCTTCATGGAACATGATCTTTATTTAATATCCTAATGATTTTTGGCATAAAAGAAAAATTTATAATTTTGACCCATACAATGTATTGTTGGCTATTGCTACAAATATCCCCCAGCGACTTAACACTGCTTTTGTGCTCCAGGGACACATATATGCTATAAAAAAAACAACTTTTTAAATAAAAAAAAATAAAAATAAAATATATTTTTGATAGACCTTTGTGGTCTTTTCGGTGTGCGGACAACTTGTCTTTCCACCCTTGAGATATTCACCCAATATCCCACAGAACCGTTTCACCGTTTGTATCACTCCATTTGCGGTATTTCTCACAGCGAGTGTCAAAGCGGACGCCCAAATCCACTATAATTGTAAAAATAACACTGTTTGTGTGTCAGAATGTAGTTTTAAGAGTTTAGGCGAGTATGTACTTACTTAGACTTCAAGGGCCAGCGCAAACCATCTTTTGGCGTTAAATTAATACTGTCAGGATTTACTAAGACGAATTAGCGCTGAAAAGGCGTAGACAGTTATTTTTGTGCCTGACCTTATTCAATATGCATTTGTAGGAGTTTCCCTTTCAGATGCAAAATTTATGGGAAGAGAGTATTAAAATGAAATGCGCAACATGATTTACTAACATTTGCGCTCATCAAATTAGCGATGTTTGCGCCATTATTTAACCCCTCCAAAAAAGCATGTCTTAAACTATTTTGCGCCTGTGTCGTAAGTACATCACCCGCACCTGATGAATTGCGTTGGTCGATATGTAAATGAGAAGTTGCGTCAGTGTTCTTTAATTTGTGTGTTATCAGTAAATCACAACAGAAATTTCTACACCCATCGGTGCTGTTTTGAAATTGTGCTCTCGTGCTAATTTGCCTTGTTTAGTAAATCTGGCCCCAAATATGCCGTTTGTTAATAAAGATAACATCTATTTGAAAATTAGCTTCGACGGTTTCATAGATGTGAGCTCCAGAGCGTCAGCGGCGTTCAGCGCTCATGAACCTGCGGAGAGAGCAGCCTTTTTACCGCTGGCTCTGATGTCTCTGTAGTGGTTAACATGAGATATATTTTGTTTTGGGTAAATCTAACATGCAGTCTTTGGTCTCTTTAATCTATTATTTGTTCCAGAGCAAATAGTTTTGGCAAAATCTCACCATGTTTATGTAACTTCAATGCTGTGTATCAGAGCGCTGCCTTCGTACTTTTCTGACTGAATTGCCTAGCAACTTTTATAATAGGTATTGTTTGTTAAAATGATTCTTCAACAAATATATAAATAATAGTAGTATTCAATAATAATATTTATTATTGGGAAACGTTCTGTGTATTCATGATGGTGATTTTAGTTACATTGTTTTGCCATTAGATGGCAACAAGAGACTGTTTTTACAAGTTAACATTAGCATAACATTAGACTTTTATATTGAAAAGACTGAAATGCAAGGAAGTCATTTTTACTTTCAACAACAGCTTGTAAGCCACAACCAACAAATGCACAGATCAGCTCTGTCATCAGAAATCACCATTAACAGATGAAAGGATAGTGCGACAAAGATATCGCTTTCCTCAGCAGACATTAAAACTAATGTTTTATTGTGAATATGAGATTGAGCTGAAGAATGAATGCTGTTCACACTCGCTCAGTCCATCTCTCTCTCATAATACTTAACATAATACAGTGAGCTTTTAATACAGTAATACAATAAGCTTTCAATGAAGCAACTCAACGTTCCTCAGATTTGAATCTGTGGCGGAAGGAAGTAGTTCTGCACAAAAGAGGGCTTCTAAAGACACTCTGTTGTTGTTTCTTATGTATATATATACAGTATATATATATATATATATATATATATATATACTGTGTGTATATATGTATGTATATATGTACACATGAAAATGAAGGAATTTATATATTTTAGAATGGATTTACATAGAGTAATTTTATTAAATGCATTTTAAATGTACGTTTTGTTTTATAAACTGTTTATTTAATGTAATTTAACCTTTTTTGTTTTTAGTTTCATAAAGAATACGTCAAACTTGTTGAAAATTAATGATTTGATATATTTGAACATGGATTTACATATTTTATAGTCATTTTATTGAATACATTTTAAACATACACTGCTTTATAAATAGTTGTATTAATGTCATTTAAACTTTTTTTTAATAATTATTATTGTTTTTAGCTTCACCAACATGTCACATGTTCTGGATGAGACTAAATCAAGGATGACGATAAATTCAAGCATGACGATGAATGATTTAAAATTGATAGTGGATTTACATATTTTATAGTCATTGTATAGTCAGATGTCATTTTGTTTTCTAAGCATTGTGTTTGAATGTTTCAGGTCGTGTATCTTCTACCGGGCGTGTGCAGATATTCCTCGTGGAACGGAGCTCCTGGTTTGGTACAACGACAGCTACACGTCTTTCTTCGGGATCCCGCTGCAGTGCGTCGCACAAGACGAAAACTGTAAGAGAAACTCTTCTGCATCAATCTCATCTTAACCATTCACACACTTATTCCCACTACAGACACACTGATGCTTCTTTGTGGAATTATAAGTGTGCTTTCCATGATTTTGTCATCTGTCGCATCAGTGACATTCAGATTCAGATGTTTGTTGTCGCATTTAGTCGCTGCTACATGAACAAATCTCATCCAGAATAGATTTCAGTTTCAGCTTCTTCTTTTTAAGAAGTTCACGCTGGCTCTGCTCAGTTTCGGTGGTTTTGGTAAATGTTTCACCTACATTACAGATGTAGATGTTCTCACAGGAGCTCCGGATAAGATAATGATTTTGATTTCTTAAATGTTCAACTAGTTAGTTTAGAAAATGTAACTACAACATGATTCAAGAAACATTTTCTTAAAAACTTATAAAACCATCTGGTTCGGTAACACTTCGGTAATAGTGTATTATAAAGTTTTTCATAATGTATGTTCTAATACATTTGATCTTTTCATGTATACTTGTAACAAAAGTTAAAATGCATCATAATATTTGAAGGTTTGCTTGTCTTGTGTTTTAATGCACAAACATCAAATATCACACATACAGTATCAGTTCTGCACTGCTTTCTGCTTTTCCATTGCTTTTTTATATAACGTGTTTGACAGAGATGTTTGACCGTAGCATTGCGTCGCGTTTCGCTCATGAAACGGCACCTAAAAGTAAAAACGTCACATGCAAATTAGTAATCTGGCAAAATGGGATGTGCTTGACTTATTAACATTTATTAGATTTATTTGTGTTTTTAAAAGCATGAAAGAGAACTCGCACTGTTTCTGTGCACGCGCTCCGACACAAAACAGTACACGGTCAAGTAAAGTGAACGTTTAGCTTAAGGTGTGTGCCTAAACAGTCAAATAAATGCAAAACTGTGTCAAAATGCGGTGCTTAGTGATCATTCAAATAAACCATTGTTGGTTACGTTTTAAGTGAACATAAACAGTTGAGAATGAAAATACATGTGTTACAGTAAATTGGATCCGTGCAGCTCTTAAAGTGACAGCAGTCTAATATTCCTGCTGCTGTCTGTGTGCTTAATATCAACCAAATAACAAAAGACAAAGAGAAATGCACTCACCGCTGTTGACTGAAGGATGTTTGTAGCTTTAATAAGAAACAAAGCGAGTTTAATTCTTACAGTGAAGACTATTTTACATTTGATTGCAAAGCATGAAAGAGAACTCGCACTGTTTCTGTGCACGCGCTCCGACACAAAACAGTACACGGTCAAGTAAAGTGAACGTTTAGCTTAAGGTGTGTGCCTAAACAGTCAAATAAATGCAAAACTGTGTCAAAATGCGGTGCTTAGTGATCATTCAAATAAACCATTGTTGGTTACGTTTTAAGTGAACATAAACAGTTGAGAATGAAAATACATGTGTTACAGTAAATTGGATCCGTGCAGCTCTTAAAGTGACAGCAGTCTAATATTCCTGCTGCTGTCTGTGTGATTAATATCAACCAAACAACAAAAGACAAAGAGAAATGCACTCACCGCTGTTGACTGAAGGATGTTTGTAGCTTTAATAAGAAACCAAGCGAGTTTATTTCTTACAGTGAAGACTATTTTACATTTGATTATTCAATTTCTGTTGCAGGCGGTTAGTGGAATACTTTAGACTTGCATAAAAATGCACTCATTTCATTTCTATCTTTTTTATTGTATTTGTCCTTTGCATTTTGTTTGTATTGCATTACTGACTGTTTAAGTATTTTTCTTAACTTTTTTTACACTTATATGAGTTACCTTGGTATTCTGCTGTGGTATTGAGAATTATGAAGTTTCGCTAATCTAAAATGTAGATGTTACAGCAAATTTAGGTACAGAAAATGCACTCATTTCATTTCTATCTTTTTTATTGTATTTGTCCTTTGCATTTTGTTTGTATTGCATTACTGACTGTTTAAGTATTTTTCTTAACTTTTTTTACACTTATATGAGTTACCTTGGTATTCTGCTGTGGTATTGAGAATTATGAAGTTTCGCTAATCTAAAAGGTAGATGTCACAGAAAACTTAGGTACAGAAAATATATATATTTGATCTATATCGCTATCTTTAAATAAATCACTCATATAAAGTTTTGGTCATGTGGCCCACTCATAATCATGTTAAATAATCGTGATTACAGTACTGACCATATGCAATATGCCTTATATATATTTGATCTATATCGCTATCTTTAAATAAATCACTCATATAAAGTTTTGGTCATGTGGCCCACTCATAATCATGTTAAATAATCGTGATTACAGTACTGACCATATACAATATGCCGATAATATGGATAACTCACATGTGCTCAGCGTGTGATAGTGATGAGATTACATCAGCAGTGTGCTCATTCTTGAAGCAATATTTTCCTGAATGATGATTAGATTCACTGTTTTGGATCGCCGCATTTAATTTGAGAATGTACATACAGAACGATGTGTCCGGTGTGCAAGAGAGAGTTTCTAGCGCATCTGCAAAGGCGTTTTATTTACTTAGGTGGCGCTGTTGGCCTAATTGTAATAAAATGAAAATAATATACACAAATATCATTAAGATACTTGTGTTTCTGAATAAATAATGCAGTATCAATGTCATAAAATCACGAGTCTGTTTTGAGTTAAAGATAAGCTGTAGCTTACATGAATAAAAATCACAAACATGACACTTGTAAATTAAATAATTTGATATATACAGATTTACGCAGTAATATGTAATACACAGCAAAAAAAGATTCTCTTAGTGTTTGTGTCTTGTGTTCTAGTATAAATATCTAAACATTCTTGAATCAAGATGCATTTATTTGACAAGTAAAATGATTTAAGATATTACGTCTTGTTTTCTTAAAAAAAAAAAGTATTTTGTTTTTGCTTAAAACAAGCAAAAATATCTGCCAATGGGGTAAGAAAATTGGCAGATTAAAAAAAAAAGTATTTTGTTTTTGCTTAAAACAAGCAAAAATATCTGCCAATGGGGCAGGAAAAATCATCTTGTTTAGCCTTTGAATTAAGATAATTTTTCTTACCCCATTGGCAGATATTTTTGCTTGTTTTAAGCAAAAACTAACAACATTTTTCTTTTCTTTTTTACAGAAAACAAGACATAATATCTTGTCATTTTACTTGTAAAAATTTACTTATCTTGATTCAAGAACTTTTAGATATTTATACTAGAAAACAAGACAAAAACACTAAGAGAATAATTTTTTGCAGTGTATATTTTTTCAAATGGATTATGAAAACTTAAACATAATGAGCTCTAAAAGATTTTTAGACGTTTTACAGCTCTTTTGCTTTAGACCATCTATTAATGTTAAATCCACAAATAAAATGTTACGGTTTCAACTGCATCTGTCTGAGAACAAAAATACACAGCAGAGATTGATTTTATTACGGCTATATTTTCAAGGCTTTCAATGTACTCTCATTAAAAAAATAACTTTAATAAAGTTGATTACAAATAAGTGTTTGCTCAAAAACATCAACCAAAATTAAAAATAATTTGTTTATAATTTCTGCACAGGAGAGATTTGGTGTTGTTTCAAAACAAAGGGAAATATATATCGGTATCGGCATTGGCTATCGGCCAAAATTATTTGAAAAATATCGGCATATCGGCAAAAATCTAATATCATGCATCCCTAATTTGAATGAATGGATAAATCAGAAGAATCGCCCAGCTTAGTGTTCATGTATGTTCTCCCAGCGAAGACTGTTCTGGAGGAGAGAGCGAGTCTGACAGTCCAGTGTTTACAGCAGACAGACTTTATGAGTTCAGTCTGCTTACTGTCGTGTTTAGACAGAGCTCTCTACAGTGTGTCATGTGATCTGAGAGATGTGCTGTTGAGAAATACTGTGAGAGAGGAGCTCTTTGCTGATCAGAAGCTGTTTTGACACTGTTTGTCTGTGGAGCTCAGGATTCATGTGTGAGTCTGAATATATGAACACTCAGATCTGCTCAGATGCACATGTAATTAGTGCAGTCAGCGGAGTCCTGAGATACCCTGGCCTGCGGAGCAGAGCTTTCATTTGTGTGTTTCTCCACGTTCAGTCTAATCTCAGGTCTGCGGCTGACGCTCAGCGGTGATCAGACGACTTCTGGAGATTCATGCTTCATGCTGCATCGAATCCGCTGGCGTTATTGAATCAGAGTGCTCTCACATGTCTCGTCTTACAGTCGGCTATTTCAGTGTTTATGTGCACAGCATGCTGTGTGATGATGAATGTGGAATGTGGTTCAGCCTTTCTGAACATAAAGTGTCTTTGAAAGCATCTGAAGACGTTGGTTCCTCGTCCAAGATCTGACTCTATGGCTGATTCTCTAATGTTGTTTAGTCATTTTTAGAATAAATAAACGTGTTACATTTAATACATTTATTTAAAAAAATATACAGTTCCCTTTCAGTCAGTCACGTTCGATGTTACGTCAGCAGTAGGGTTGGGTACCGAAACCCAGTACCAATATGGCACCTATGTAACCGGTATGTACTAGAACCAAATCAGAACGCAGATTTCGGTGCCTCATTTCGGTACCATGCCTGAGCGATCGATTGAAATATTTGTCCTCTGGTTCTCCGAAACGGACGTAAGAAGCATCATCACCGGCACCGCACGTGAAAGATAATTTCCTGACTGAGAAAATGCACGTGAACTCAAGTCGGAAAGCTCTAATAATACAGATCCAACACATCTTTGTAGTAACAAGAGTGTCCATGTTGTTTTCACATTCCGACTTAAAAGCAGAACTCGGGAAACGAGAACATCCGAGGAGCACGTGAATGCAGTAATTACACTTGCTCTGATGGCAGCCGGTAGCCTTCCGTTAACTAAGCTAAACATGCTTAAATTAAAATGCCTAAAGCTAAACCTCCCTTGTATTCACATTTCTAAACCTGTTGTCCAACAAAAGAGAACATTATAACCTTTTTACTCCACAACAACAGTCAAATACTTCCTTTTGTGATCTGATGAGGCTTCTTGTCACAGAACGAGGCATAAAATATGTTCCATAGGCTACTTTAAAAAGAATACATCGATTAGCAATGGATTATCAATATACTTAATTATTATGAAAATACCAGAGATGGCTTGAATAACACAGATAAACTATATTGTCGCAGTCGAGTGTTTATTGTCTTTGTTTTATCATTCAAAACATTTATATCTTCGGTTTACTCAGTTACAGCTATAACAGATGTCTTTGTGCATATAAGGGATTTCCTGGAGGGTCGTGAGTTCTGCTTGAGCAGTCACTGAAGATAGTGTTACAGAACAATGGTTCTGCGAGTGTTGGTGTTACGGCTCGTCAGCGGGGGTTGCTGGTCCAGTGCTGCTGCTTTTTTACCAATTTGGACGGCGTGCTGCAGATCATCTAACTGCAGTCGCAATGCGACCTCCCCTGTACGCTTCACCACTTAAATCTAAAAGAGCAAGATCTAAAAGATCTCCACGAGTGACGCGGCGTCTTTTTAAAAATGGCCTTCCACTCGTGTGTTTCTGGATGCGGTCGCTTCCTGGCTCTATCTGATGGTCACGATCGCTGCATCTCATGCCTGGGCTTTGAGCACGCTGAGGCAGCGCTCGTGGGAGATTCATGTTCTCATTGCGAAACGAGGGGGAAATTCATGTTCTCTTGCTATGCCCCGATCAATTTCCTCTTGTCTCACAGCAGCAGAGGAGTTCTTCGGCGTATGGTCAAGGCGATCTGAGGATTACAGTGAGGGCTTCCCTGCCGAGTGCATCTCCGCGGGCCCCCTCACTCCTCCAGCACATCGCACCCTGTGGTATTCCGTGATGAGACTGCTGAGCCCCCGGAGGTGGGGCCTAACGTCTCGTTCGGAGCTCCGGCAGATGACAGGATGTCCATCACTGAGCGCTCGAGGCTGGATGATTGGTTCCTGGGGGTGCCGCACGTCAATCCTCAGCGTCCACCTCCGGTCTAAAAGAGCAAGATCTAAAAGATCTCCACGAGTGACGCGGCGTCTTTTTAAAAATGGCCTTCCACTCGTGTGTTTCTGGATGCGGTCGCTTCCTGGCTCTATCTGATGGTCACGATCGCTGCATCTCATGCCTGGGCTTTGAGCACGCTGAGGCAGCGCTCGTGGGAGATTCATGTTCTCATTGCGAAACGAGGGGGAAATTCATGTTCTCTTGCTATGCCCCGATCAATTTCCTCTTGTCTCACAGCAGCAGAGGAGTTCTTCGGCGTATGGTCAAGGCGATCTGAGGATTACAGTGAGGGCTTCCCTGCCGAGTGCATCTCCGCGGGCCCCCTCACTCCTCCAGCACATCGCACCCTGTGGTATTCCGTGATGAGACTGCTGAGCCCCCGGAGGTGGGGCCTAACGTCTCGTTCGGAGCTCCGGCAGATGACAGGATGTCCATCACTGAGCGCTCGAGGCTGGATGATTGGTTCCTGGGGGTCAATCCTCAGCGTCCACCTCCGGTTCTATTCTGCCTGAAACAGAGCTAGTGCCTCTTCCTTCCTCACTACCCTCGACGGCGGGCGGCTAAGGGGTATGTGGGGCGCGCTATTGCAATGCAGCTTTGCCCGCAGAGCACTGCTGCCTGGTGGGGTAATCCATGCCTCCCGTCCAAAGCTTGTAAGTTCTCGTCCGCTCTAACAGCCAAGGCTTACAGAGCTGCTGGACAGGCTGCCTCCGCCCTGCACGCCATAGCCCTCCTGCAAGTCTACCAGGCCAAGGCATTGAAGCAGCTGCACAAGGGTAGTTCTGACCCGGGTGTGATGCAGGAGCTGTGTACTGTGACAGACCTTGCCCTACAGGCGACAAAAGTCACAGCGTGGTCCCTGGGTCAGACGATGTCCACCTTGGTGTTCCAGGAATGCAACCTTTGGCTGAACCTGGCAGATATGAGGGAGTCCAGCAAACACTGCTTCCTGGACTCCCTGATCTCCCAGGCAGCAATAGTAGCGTTTTCATAGGGATCCCAGTTCGTCAGTCACTGCTGACGTAACGTCGAATGTGACTGACTGAAAGGGAATGTCTCAGTTACGTATGTAGGAGGGAATGGAGACGTTACGTCCCGTCGCCACAGTTGCTGTACCACCGCTGTACGGCTGAGGCACACCGTCTCGGCTCCTCAGCGAAAAACTGAATGTGTGACTGCATGCGCTCTCCTTATATACCTGCGCTGCTGGGCGGGCTGCACGATGCAAAGCTCGCACGCCAACGTTCATTGGCTCGTTTTGTTAACACTCAAAGATGATTGGCCTCTCTGCCGAGATCCCAATTCGTCAGTCAATGCTGACGTAACGTCTGCGTTCCCTCCTTCAGTTCCCTACATCAGTATGAGGTCCTGCCCTCCGGGCTGTCCCTGTTGCCCCGTGTCTTCACGTAAGCTACGGAGGTACCCCTTGTTCCCTTGAGAGAACAGAGCATTCGCGTCTCGGTTACGTATGTAACCCTCGTTCCCTGAAGGAGGGAACGGAGACGTCACGTCCCGTCGCCACAGCTCCTGTACCACCGCTGAGCGGCCGGGTCACTGGCTCGGCTCCTCAGCGAAAACCTGAATATGCGCTGCACCTGCTGCCTACTTATGCTCACGCTGTGATCAGCAGCAGCTGGATGCAATAATCGCATGCCAATGTGCATTGGCTCGTTTAGTTTACACTCGAAGTAGATTGGTCCCTCTAAGCGAGATCCCAATTTCGTCGGTCCTCCGACGTGAGGGTTACCATACGTAACCGAGATGTTCTTTTGAACTTTCTATTTATCTGTGAATCCTGAAAAATAAAATGCATGACGGTTTCCACAAAAATATTGTTCAGCACAACTGTTTTCAACATTGATAATAATCAGAAATGTTTCTTGAGCAGCAAATCAGCATATTAGAATGATTTATGAAGATCATGTGACACTGAAGACTGGAGTAATGATGCTGAAAATACAGCTTTGATCACAGAAATAAATTACAGTTTAGCAGATATTCACATAGAAAACAGATATTTTAAATCACAATAATATTTCAAAATGTTTACTATATTTTTGATCAAGTAAATGCAGCCTTGGTGAGCAGAAGAGACTCCTTTCAAAAGCATGGGGGAAAAACCCTTCTGAACAGTAGTGTATATAAATGAGTGTAATTGATCAATGACTCTTTGTATAGATGGTCAGATTTTGAATACCCAGCTTTTAGTTGATTCTGATAACTAAACTGATAACGTCGTCACAATTGTATACACGATGGCTTTTTTCTTTCTTGAGGCGGTTTGGCGTCATGCCACCTTTGTTTCCAGGCGGAACGTTAAAGAGCGCGACACACACATCTCCCGGAAATCCTGTATAATTCAACCAATCCGATGACGACTTCGAAACTCCTGAAGTGCTTCCAGTTTTGTGTGCCAACGGTCCGTGGGCATGACGTCTGAGGCTGAGACTACTTGGCAGCTAACTGAGATAGTTGCTTTTTATAGTTAATATTTTTATAAAATATTTGATAAATTAAATCAAAATATATTTGTAATATTTTATTTTATTTTTGTTAATATTTATATTATTTTAAGTAATAAAAATGTTATCTGTTTGAGTCAGACGTTCTGCTTGTGTTTCTGTGGCAGTAAAATATTTTATAAATTTGAAAAGTATATATATACAGTATATATATATATATATATATATATATATATACACACACTATATATACTTTTTTGGAGCACAAAAGCAGTCATAAGTAGCACAGGTATATTTGTAGCAATAGCCAACAATAGATTGTAAGGGGCAAAATTATCGATTTTTTATACCAAAAATCATTAGGATATTAAGTAAAGATGTTCCATGAAGATATTTAGTAAATGTCCTACCGTAAATATATCAAAACTTAATGTTTGATTAGTAATATGCATTGCTAAGAACTTCATTTGAACAACTTTAAATATTATTTTCTCAATATTTAGATTTTTTTGCACCCTCAGATTCCAGATTTTCAAATATTGTTCTATCCTAACAAATCATACATCAATGTAAATTTTGTTAAATAAAATTTTATTTGGGTTCACATTTGTATTATTTGGAGTAACAGAGTGTTTCTGAGCTTGACTCAGATGTTCTGCTGCTGTTTCTGTTGTCAGTGAACGTGCCGTCTACTGTCATCGAGGCAATGTCGCGCCAGGACTCGCTCCAGCCCTTCAGCAAGAGCCCCAAACCCTCGTCTTCCTCGCTGCTGCTGCCGCGCTCCATGGTCTTCCCTCAGTCGCCCTGCTCTCGGAGCTTCTCTCTGCTGGACAAGAGTCACGCCGAGTCCAGCCTTAGCCAGATGAGCGTGAAGAACCAGCGTGTGCTGGCCAGCCCGACCTCCACCAGCCAGCTGAGCTCTGATTTCAGCGACTGGCATCTGTGGAAGTGCGGCCAGTGCTACAAGACCTTCACGCAGAGGATCCTGCTGCAGATGCACGTGTGCACGCAGAACCCCGACAGGTACGAGCGCACGCTGATTTCTACAGCGCTTTACATTTTACATTTAGTCATTTAGCAGATGCTTTTATCCAAAGCGACTTACAAATGAGGAAGCAATCAAAATCAACAAAAGAGCAATGATATGCAAGTGCTATAACAAGTCTCAGTTAGCTTAACACAGTACACATAGCGTTTTTTCAAATTATATAATAAATAAAAAGAAAACAGACAGAATAGAAAAAGAATAGAAGCAAGCTAGTGTTAGAGACCTATTTTTTTTGTTGCTTTTTGTTAATTGTATAATAAATAAAAAGAAAACAAATAGATAGAATACTAAATGATTAGAGAAGCTAGTCTTAGTTTTCTTTTAAAGAACAGAATTAGAATAGAGAGTGCTAGAGTTAGAGGGTCGAATAAAGATGGAAGAGATGTGTTTTTAGCCGATTCTTGAAGATGGCCAAGGACTCAGCTGCTCGGATGGAGTTGGGCAGGTCACTGTTAATTTAAAACGCTTTAAACATTATATATATTATACTTTATATATTTGACCCTCTAACTCTCTATTTTAATTATATTATGCACTCTCTATTCGTTTTCTAACTGCTTGTTTTTCTTAAAAAAAACAACAACTCTAACACTAGCTACATATATATATATATATATATATAGAGTCTATAAGTATAGCCCGTGATTTACTCACCCTCAAGGCATCCTAGGTGTATATAACTGCCTGAAATAAGGCAGGCGAAATCTCTTAATATTTTTAAATCTTGCTTTAAAACTCATTTCTTTAGGGTAGCTTTTACTTTAATTTTTATATAAATTTTATATTATTCTTATTTTTAAGTGTTTTGAATGCATGTTTCCTTTTTTGCTTATTTTATAATTTTTATATGGTGTATACGCTATAGAAAAAAACGATTATTATTATTCTTTCAGATGAATCCAATCGGAGTTATATTAAAAATGGTCCTTGCTCTTCCAAGCTTTAGAGGCGGGTGTTTTTTTCAACAGTCCAAAAGTAGTCAAATAAAGCGCATCCATCCGTAATAAAACATGCCTCGCACGGCTCCGGGGGGTGAAAAAAGGCCTCCTGTAGCGAATCGATGCGTTTTTGTAAGAAAAATATCCATATTTAAAACATTATAAACACTTTTCTCTCACTTCCGCTAACTGTCATACGCAGAAGCTGTCATTTTTGGTTGAACTAACCCTTTAATGTTGCAAAATTCATCAATAATGAAAATAATTCTATTGCATCAGCTCTGCAGAAGACAATAGAGTCGTTATTCACATCAGTTCAGATTCAATTAAGTTCAGAAACAGTGTCGATGTTGCGAAGTTCATCAATTATAAAAATGTGATTCTTCAATTCTTAATTCAGAATTCTAATTCAGTTTTAAAACAGCTCTACTGAACACAAGTGTCATAGTTCAGCTCAATCCAGTTCATCGCTGATTCAGTTCAATAAGTCAGTTTTGCTAAATGAAATGAATTATAAAACAAATTCAGTTCTTAGATTCTTAATTTGAAACTTGATCCTTAACTCTAATCTTCTAATCCTCTTAAGCTCTACAGAAGACATAAGTGTCATAATTAAATTCAATTCCATGTTGATTCAATTCAGTTCAATAACAGAGTCAGTGCTGCAAAATTGATCATTTATAAAAGAAATTAAATTCTTCTATTCTAAATCTGAAATTCAGTTGTCAACTATAAAGCAGCTCTACAGAAGACAAAAGGGTAAAAATTCAGCTCATAAATAATAAATAATATTCATAAATGATAACAAATGTGATTCTTCAATTCTGAATTCAAATTCAGTTATAAAGCAGCTCTACAGAACACAAGTGTCAGTTCAACTCAATCAAGTCAATTTTACAAAATTATTACAAAATTAATTATAAAACAAATTCTTTGATTCTTAATTTAAAACTTGAGTCTTAACTATAAGTAGCTCTACAGAAGTGTCGTAATTCAATTCAGTTCCATGTTGATTCAGTTCAGTTCAATAACAGATTCAGTGCTGCAAAATTGATGTTATAAAATAAATTCAATTCTTCGATTCTAAATTTGAAATTCAGTTGTCAGCTATAAAGCATCTCTACAGAAGACAAAAGTGTCATAATTCAGCTCAATTCAGTTCAGCGTTAATTCAGTTCTATGACAGTGTCGATGTTGCAAAGTTCATAAATTCTGAAACAAATCCAGTTCTTTGATTCTTAGTTTAAAATTTGATTCTTAACTGGTGTAAATTGTGTCTTTAATGTACTATTACAGTTTTTATTAATATTTTGAAACAATCTTTATTTTTATATTTTGTTTTCATTGTAATTTTAGTGAAAGGTTTAGTCATTTTGTTGTGTTTTTGTCATTTTTAGCAGTTTTTCGTATTTATTAATTAATTAATTAATCAATTGTGTTTTTTAGTTTTTTAACCATTTTTTACTGTTTTAATTATAAATTCAGTTGTAATTTTAGATAATTATAATTACTCTGTTCTTAGCCATAAAGCAGCTTTATAGAAGACAAAAGTGTCATAATTCCGTTCATTTCAGATTCAATTTAGTTCTGTAACCATGTCGATGTTGCAAAGTTCAATTTTAAAACAAATTAAATTCCTAATTTGAAATTTGATTCTTAAGCCGTCTTATTTTAGTATCAGTGAGATATTTTAGTTTTCTATTAATATTTTGAATCTTTTTTATTTTTATATTTTCTGTTTCCATTTAAATTTTAAAGTTGTAGTATTTTTGTTTTGATTTTGTCACTTTTATTAGTTATATATAAGTTTTATTAATTTTTATTTTTAGTTATTTTAGTACATCAAGTTAAACTAAATAAAAATTAGAAATATTTTCATTGAATAGCTGAAAATAGAAATATTTTTATATTTTATTTTATTTTAACGCTTATTTTATTTCAAGTGACATATATAAATAGTTTTAATTTTAGTGTCAGTTTTACTTTCAGTTAACTGTAAAAAACCTGTTCTTAAGTATAAAGCAGCTCTATAGAAGACAAACATACGCTTCGTCTATGTTGCAAAATTCATCAATTATAAACAAATTTGATCCTTAATTCAAAATCTTCAGCTATGAAGCAGCTCTACAGAAGACAACAGAGTCATGATAATTCAGTTCAAGTTCAGGTCTGATCTGATAGAGTCAGTGCAGTTAAATATTACAGTCTTTCAGACTTTGTAGAGTCAGTAAACGAGCGTCTGGAGTTCTGATGATTCAGATCCGTTCAGACGCGTATCTCTGTGAATCTGAGCATCATGATGGGATTCGTTCTGAGATTGTCACGTCTGATGAAGACATTTCTCCAGAATGCTCCTGAGATGATTTGGCCTCACAAAGCGAGAGTGTAGCATCTCTAAACCTAATTAAACACGGCCGAGCATGTATTGGAAAATTTTTGCTTAGCTCTATTTTCCGGGCTGCGTTCAGTTCTATAAATCAGCTGCTGCATCACAAAGAAATCCCCAGTCCAGAGGTGATGCAGAGGAAAACAGATGCCACTTATTCAATAAACTAATATTCATACAGAAGAAAAATGTTTGCGGGATGAAGTCGATGTGAGGCTTTGTCGATACTCAACTTTATGACCCTGAGGCGCAGATAAAATTTAGCTGAACGAGGCAATCTGAGACGCCGCGTGAATCTGTGGAAAATGATCTCGTGGATGCTTTATGGCCTTTGGCTTATACATATTTATTGATGTTTAGTTTATATGTAGATTTGAGCTGGATAAATCACGGCATCATTGCGCTGCCGTGTTCTGCTGATGCGCAGGTGTTTTTCTTGTTTTTGTTTGCTCACATCAATCTCAGCGATGACACGTTTCATTAACGAGTAAAGAGCCATTCATTACCATATCGAGCAGAGTAAATATTCTCCTGCTGTAAGACATTCGAGGAGCCGCTTTCACTCTGAAGCGGTGCTGAAGGTGGGTTTGGAAGCGGCTGGTGGAGGTCCACAGGGTTATTTATGTCCGTCCCGCTCCGGCCGCTGCAGCAATAAACAATAAGCAGACATTAATCAGGCGTGCTGCTGTAGTTAAAGCACCGCACACATTCATCATCTGAAGATATTCAGCAGCTCTGCGTCTGCAGACAGAAAAACTTCAGTCACTCGCTCAGCTTCATCAGGAAACACTGACATCTGTGCTGGAACACTTCATATATAGACTATAGCGTGTGTGTGTTTTATATATAGACATATACAAACATTCAAGAAACCATATTTTCCACCTCACAGCATTATTTCATGTATTATATATATGTGTGTGTGTGTGTGTGACCCTGGACCACAAAACCAGTCATAAGGGTCACTTTTTTAAATTGAGATTTATACATAATACAATAAATAATCTTTCCATTGATGTATGGTTTGTTAGGATCGGACAATATTTGGCTGAGATGCAACTATTAGAAAATCTGGAATCTGAGGGTGCAAAAAAATCTAAATATTGAGAAAATCATCTTTAAAGTTGTTCAAATGAAGTTCTTAGCAATGCATATTACTAATCAAACATTAAGTTTTGATATATTTACGGTAGAAAATTTACAAGAGATCTTCATGGAACATGATCTTTACTTAATATCCTAATGATTTTTGGCATAAAAGAGAAATGTATAATTGTGACCCATACAATGTATTGTTGGCTATTGCTACAAATATCCTCCAGCGACTTAACACTGCTTTTGTGCTGCAGGGACACATATATATATATATAATTTTATTCGAATTTTTAAGATGTATACAGTATGTACACATGTACTAAATGTTTTTTCTTAAAAAAAGGTATTTGTGTAAAATGTATATATATATAAAATGAAATACATGAAATGATGCAGTGAGGTGGAACAATATTTCTTTGTATGTAAAATATATTTATAAAATGTATATAAGATAACGTATATATATCTCTGATAATTTAAGAAATGTTAACATATTTAGAATTTTAAATTTTTTTTTGTTTGTCAAAAACTATTTTTTTATTTTTTAATAATTGTATTTTAGGAGTATACTCTCCTCATTGTTTTTGTATTTCTGATTATATTTTCTTCGTAATATTTTTTCAAAGCAGAGTTTGAAGCGAGTAAAAGAGAAACCTGATGAAACACTGTTCAAGACTGTAAGAGAAACTTTCTTCTTTCAGACGAATCCAGTCGGAGTTATATTAAAAATGGTCTTTGATCTTTCAAGCTGTTTAATGGCACTCAGCGGGTGTTGCATTGCTTCAGTCCAAAATAAGTTAAATAAAGTGTACAACAGTGAGCGCAAGCTAGATTAAATTGATTATTACGTTTTAAATATGGTTATTTTTCTGACAAAAACGCATCGATTCGCTACAGGAGGCCTTTGTTCACCCTCCGGAGCCGTGTGAGACACTTTTTATTACGGATGGGCGCTTTTTATTTAACTTCTTTTGGACTGATGCATGCAACACCCGCTGACTGCCATTAAACAGCTTGAAAGATCAAAGCCATTTTTAATATAACTCCGACTGGATTCATCTGAAAGAAGGAAGTCATATACACCTAGGATGCCTCGGGGGTGGGTAAATAATGGGCTAATTTTCATTTTTGGTTGAACTAACCCTTTCGGTCTGATTCTGTGCGTGTGATCTTCTCCTTCAAGCAAATAAATAAGGAGGCTGCTGTTTGGCTTGAATCGTCAGCTCATCTGATGCTCTCTGAGACGGTGCAGGTCTGGTGTTATTGATGGACGCTCTGTGTTTCAGGCCGTATCAGTGTGGACACTGCTCGCAGTCGTTCTCGCAGCCGTCGGAGCTGCGCAATCACGTGGTCACGCACTCCAGCGACCGGCCCTTCAAGTGCGGCTACTGCGGCCGAGCCTTCGCCGGAGCCACCACCCTCAACAACCACATCCGCACGCACACCGGGGAGAAGCCTTTCAAGTAAGTAACAGTGAGTACCATCCATTCCTACAACACGATCCGTCTGTTTCACAAGAATATTTGCATCCATTTCTGTACACTTCAGTTTCTCCAACAAGCACGAGTCATGCTTTCAAGCTCTCAATTTTGAATAATTTTTATTTTAACACATATATACACACACACATTTTTAAAGCAATATATGTATTTTAAATATTAGTTTTCATATAATATATATGTTAAAGAAGTTTTCATGTAACATGTGTATATAAAATTATTTATATTTTCAATCTATTAATTTTCTATATTTTTATTTTTAAAAATATACTTTATATCAAATTGTTTAGAGTTTACGGTTTTTTGTTGTTGTTATTTATATATATATATATATATATATATATATATATGTGACCCTGGAGCACAACACCAGTCATAAGGGTCTTTTTTTAAATTGAGATTTATGCATCATCTGAAAGCTGAATAAATAATCTTTCCATTGATGTATGGTTT